GACTCTGTTATGCCAAGTGGATTCCTTGTAGCTGAATGCAGTGGCACCTGTAATTCACTCCCAACACTGATGCATTGCAGGGAGAATCGTAGGATCATAGAATCATAGAATGGCTTGAGTTGCAAGGGACCACAAAGATCATCCTGTTTCAACCCTCCTGCTGTGTGTAGGGTCTCCAACCACCACACCAGGCTGCCAGAGCCACATCCAGCCTGGCCTTGAATGCCTCCAGGAATCCAGGAGCATCTACAACCTCCTGTTCCAGTGCCTCACCACCCTTTGGGGGAAAAGCTTCCTCCTAACATCTAACCTAAACCTCTCCTGTCTCCGTTTAAAACCATTTCCCTTTGTCCTATCACTATCCACCTTCATAAACAGCCGTTCCCCCTCCTGTTTATGTGCTCCTTTCAAGTACTGGAAGGCCACAGTGAGTTCTTCTCACAGCCATCTCCACAGCTAAAGAAGCCCAGTTCCCTCAAGCTTTCTTCACAGTAGAAGTGCTCCAGCCCTCTGAACGGCTGCCTCTGAATGGCAGACAAATCTGCTGTGTGGATGTTTAGGCAGCATAGTTTGAAGAGGTTTAAGCGTAATGCATGGTTTGTCCAAGCAGAATGGAAGCAAGGGGCTGGAAGGGTTGTTGGAAAGAAAGAAAAACCTGTGGGATGTGCTGAAGTGGCTTTACTCTTGCAGGCTAAGTGCTATATATGGAGGCACCTACATGCTGAACAAGCCCATTGAAGAGATTGTGATAGAAAATGGCAAAGTTGTTGGTGTGAAGTCTGAAGGGGAGGTATGGTACCCTCTGGTTCTTCCCTTATTCCCATTATCGCTGTCTTGCCTTTAAGTTGAGGCTGTCAGTCATCGATCTGAACAAATGTAGCAGAAAACCCCTCAGTTGAAGCTAAACTGTTTGGCTGGTGCCAGTTTATTCACGTCGTGAGCTTAAGAAGTGCTGATAATCTTAATGTGAGGAGAACAATACAGTAATCCCACTCCAGGAGCCGGAATGATTCTCCAGGGAGCAGAAATGTTGTCTTCTAAATAAACCAGGCTGGTAAAACTGGAAAGAAGCTGCTCGCTGCTGTCTAACCTGGGTATGAAACCAGCTCTGCCCTTGACATTAAGGATTAGCTGCTCAGCCTGCTGGCACATGGCCTTTCCACAGCTTCTTAACTCAGCAATATAAAACTAGCAAGAGTGCAGCGAGTTGCTTGGAAGCTATAAATGTGTTTGCAAATGGAGTGGGAGCTTCACAGGACAGTTTAGCACTCCCTGGTAGGGTAACGTGTCCCTTCTGGGCACGGGTGATGTATCCCAGCTAGCAGCAGAGGTGATAATCTGTGCTGTAAGACTGATGTGCCCAAGTGCAGGCTGCCTGCAGGCTTCAAAATTGGTCAAAATGTGAAACTATTACCGTGGTAATGAGGTATAATGTGAAATGGTGAGTTCTTATCAGTTTGATTCAGCCTTGACCACAGCACGTTACGGTCCCAGACTGGAAGGACCGGGCTCTGTAATGGTAAGAGCTTAATTACGCGCTGAGTAACGAGGGGGAGATGTGATCGGTCACACAGCTCTGTGTAGTAGGGGCTGTGATTTGTGCTGAACATGCAGCCAAATACAATCCTCGTGCAGCTGGGGGCAGGACAGCCACCTCAGATTACTGCCATCCCTCCCCCAAAGTCTGCACGCCGTCCAGCCGTGCGCCTCCACGCGTCGCTGCCTTTCTCTGCAGGTTGCTCGCTGCAAACAGCTCATCTGCGACCCCAGCTACGTCTCGGACCGTGTCACAAAGGTTGGCCAAGTGATCCGGGTAATCTGCATCCTGAGCCACCCCATCAAGAACACCAACGATGCCAACTCGTGCCAGATCATCATTCCACAGAATCAGGTCAATCGGAAATCAGGTGTGTGCAGAGCAGCGGCGCTCAGGGTTTGTGCACGTCCCCGGAAGGAGGAAGTGTTTCGTGCAGATCTTGTGGCAGCTTTCGTGCTCTTTTTCTGGAGAGGTGCCTCTCAGTTGCGTTCCCTCCAGGGGAAGCTTCCTGGCTTCCTCCTGGGCCGTGCAGTGCTCATGTGAAGCTTTCTAATCCCCGCATGGCTCTGCTTTTCTGCTCCCTGGCTTTGTTCAGCGTCACTGCTTCTGGGCACCCCTCAGTTCCTTAACTCCTGGTGGCAGCTCTGTGCCACTCCAGGAAGCTGCTGCAGCCTTGCAGTGGCACCTTTGTATGCTGGAATATTAATTGCACTTTTCCTGATGTGTTTAAGCATGCAAACCAATGTCTGGGAGTCCTTTGGGCTCCAGCAAGGCTGCACTTCAGCTGTGTGTGAGAGAGAAAGAGGTCTGTGTGCCTGTGGTCACAGTGCCACGTGGGGAACCTCCAGGAGAAGTGGGTGGAAAGTGTGTGGGGGCTGAGGGCTGCGTGCAGGATGGAGGGAAATGCAGCATGAGGGGAACAGGAAGGAGTGTGGGTGAAGCAGAGGGGGTTTGGGATGGGGCAGGCCTGATCACCTGGCGTGTCCTGATCTGCTGCTGTGTGCTTCCTGCCCCAGATATCTACGTCTGCATGATCTCCTCTGCACACAACGTGGCAGCGCAGGGGAAGTACATCGCCATCGCCAGCACTACTGTGGAAACCGCGGACCCAGAGAAAGAGATCAAGCCGGCCTTGGACCTCCTGGAGCCCATTGAGCAGAAGTAAGCACACAGCTCACCCCTCCTCACCTCCCACACTGCAGCAAGTGCAGAGCTGAGGACAAAGGCAGAGAATCACAGAATGGATTGGGTTGGAAGGAACCTCAAGGATCACAGGCAGGGCCACCAACCTCCACATTTCACAGCAGCCCAGGCTGCCCAGGGCCCCATCCAACCTGGCCTTGAACACCTCCAGGGATGGACGGGGCATCACAGCCTCTCTGGACAGCTGTTCCAGCACCTCACCATCCTCATAGTAAAGAACCTCCCACCCCAACATCCAGCCTAAATTCCCCTCCTTCAACTTCAAACCATTTCCTCTTGTCCTGTTGTTGTCTTGTAGAGAGTTGACTCCCCTCCTGTTTGTAGGCTCCCTTCAGGTCCTGGAAGGCTGCAGTGAGGTCACCCCACAGCCTTCTCTTATCCAAGCTGAACAAGCCCAGCTCCCTCAACTTGACTTTGTAGTGGAGGTGCTGCAGCCCTCTGCTCATCTCTGTGGCTCCTCTGGCCCCTCTCCAACAGCTCTCTGTCTTTCTTGCGCTGGAGGCCCCACAGCTGGACGCAGTGCTGCAGATGGGGCCTCAGAGGGCAGAGCAGAGAGGCACAATCCCCTCCTGTCCCTGCTGCCACCCCTTTTGTAAAGAAGCCCAGGACACCATTTGAGCTTTGGGACCTGACTGCCTTTCAGCCTCACAGAGATGCTGAAATCCTGAATTCCCTCTAAGCGACCTCTAATTCAGCTCTTCTTACTTGAAACCCACGCTGAAGCAGCTTTCTTTTCCTCCTTCCAGGTTTGTCAGCATCAGCGACCTGTTTGCACCGACCGACCTGGGAACTGAGAGCCAGGTTTGTAAGGGCTGTGCCCAGGGGTGGCTTCTGAAGGAGGAGAGCTTTGGTGCTGTAACTGCTGCCTCTTTTCCTTCTCCTTCCAGATCTTCATTTCTCGCACCTATGACGCCACCACTCACTTCGAGACAACGTGCGACGACATCAAAGATATTTATAAGAGAATGATGGGATCAGAGTTTGACTTTGAAGAGATGAAACGCAAGAAGAACGATATCTACGGGGAGGAGGAGCAGCAGTAATGAGAGTCTCTAATTAGAGAAATTAAATCGGCTAATATGAATATATAAGGAACTTAATGAACACTGTATGAAATTCAATATTGTAAGGCCTGCTTTTGTAATCCCATCTCTGAGAGATTGAAGAGTACTGCACTGGTAATGTTCCCCTTTTGGATATCATGTGTTAATTATTTCATTCTAGTAGGGCTGCTGTCCAGAATCTGGCAAATTACTGATTTAATGACTAACCTTGAGGTGAAAGGCAGACTGAACTATATATATTTTTTTTGCAGACGTAGATGTTGGTGCGGATTGAAATAACTCATTGACAGCTGTGTCTTACCTTGTATTTTTAATCATTTGTAAACATCCTTCACAATTATGTGCTTCTGGTGAGCTAGTAGACGTGACGGTTGTCACTCAAACCTGATATCAAGGAAAATAGAAACTGAGCACTCCATTATTGTGGACAGCATCCCTCGAGTCTCTCTCCCATCAATCTAACTCTGTGGCAAAGTTGTATTATGGACAAAGACCACATCTATTGTAGCAGCAAATGTTGGCTTAGTTCTGGGCACGGAACTTAACCTCCACTTAAGCTTCTAAAACTGTTTACATCGGTTGGGACACAGCTGTGCCTAAGGCTCCTTTGTGTTTTAATCTTAATAAAATTGAGAGAACAAATTACAGAGCAGGCAAGATGTGGGAGTATTTTCTGAACCCCGGTGGCTTCTGGGACGGACCAAACGGCACTGCGGTATTGATATGACAGAGCCTGTGCTTCTTGTGTCTCCTGAAGGCTCCAAATGATTTCTGTACTGCGAAGTAAAGCCAAATTCTGGAAAACCAGTCCTGTGCTCTGGTCTGATTCACTTCAGTTGCACGAGCAGCATCGCCTCTTTGAGATCCCTCGCATTTCTGCTCGCTAGGGTGAAACGTGAGTGTGGGGCAGAGCATTTCCTACTCAGAAAAGGGGCTCGGCTGTCCTCAGTTTGGCTTTTGACGGGAGGAGATGCAGCAGCAAAGCGTGGAGCTGGAGGCAGGCCCGGCGCGCTCTCTCCTGGCAGCCGCCCCCTGGCGCCTACAAGCAGTATTGGTAATTCCTGCTGCCGCGATTCCTTAGCAGGGCGCTGCTGTGGCTTCGGCTATTGCTTACTTTAGGAGCACGTAAAAAAAGTCAATGGAGCAGCCTTGCCCTGCTCTGAGCTGCTGGGTGAGCACAGGTAAGGGAGAAGGTCCATAGGAAAGCTTCAGGCTTTTATTAGTCAAACTATGTACAAAGTCATCCTGTACAGTTTATGTCATTTCATTAAAAAAAAACAAACAACAAAGGACAAAATGTTCTCCACGTGAAGACAGAGGGTATCTGACAAAGGTCCTCAGTGCTGTTTTCTTCATGGTGCACATGGGTCTGAGTTACTATAAATAAGAGGTTCTTTTCCAGCACTTACAGGGTTTTCCATCTGCTGGAGGAGACTCACATCCCCACAATGAAATGGAGGCAACGTGGGTGACTTGAAATGTAGTGTAGAGTGGATTTCTGCTTCCCCAGAGTCTGACAATGGTCCCCAAATGGCATTTGAAATACACCCCGTCCCCTTACCCCCCCCCCCCCAGCATCCAACACATGCACTTGTGTACAGTAACAGTCATGTGGAAAGCCAGAGCTCACAGTATTGCTTCTACCCCTCAAGTAAACCACATTTGGTTTTCCTATTCCTTTCCTTGTCAGCTGCACTAATTGCTTAAAAACCACCACAATAACTTAAAAACTGCAATGTTAACAAAACCTCTGTCCTACGCCCAACTTGATGGCAGGAAGCAAATCTGCACGAGGATTTGCACTGAGCCATCTTTAAATAATTCCTATATACAGAACTGAAGTCACCCTTCCCCTGGCCACTGTGTGCTTTTGGGGCTGTCCTTTGGAGGGTTGGAAGACCCCAAGCAGAACTGTAGGGCTCAGAGAGGAGCTGCCCCTTGTGCAGCTTTGTCACAGCAGGACAGAGATGCTGGCATGGGTTCTTGCTGTGTGCCAACTCCCTGCCAGCCCCCAGGAGCTGCTCCTGGTGCTCTTCATCCCATCCCTATGCCTCAATCTGCAGCCTGGGGGGGGGGGTTGATCTCAAGCTCCCTCTTACCAGCAGCTTCTCCTAAACGGGGCAGCCACTTTCTGTGCCATCCCCAGGAAGGTGCTGATGTCGGCCACGAGGATCCCTTTGTTTTCCAAGACGTCTCTGCTGACGCTGGGCTTTTCTGCAAAAAGAGTGGCACTGTAAGGCAGACGTGCAAAGGAGATTCTTCTGAAAACTGCAGAAAATACCTCCAGATCCCACCGCAGTTATTCCGTTTTTGCAGATTAATGGGAGAGCTTCCCAGCCTCAGCCAGGAGCGTGTGACACAGAGCCACCCCCGGGCTCAGAACAACTGCCAAAATTAAGCAGACCTCCCCCAAAAATCTGTTTGTTTTGCCTGTTAGCACACTGACTCAAGGTGCAGAGCTGCTTTTCCACACCTCAAATCAGCCATTGCAGCAGCGAGAGCTGAACGAGGCAGTATTTGTCAGTGGGTGCCCTGAGCCTGCCCTCACCTGTGAGATACACCGCAAACCTGGCGCTGACGTGCTGGACCTGCAGGTTCAACAAGCACTTCATGTACTCCGATCTGGGGGACGAGCTGGAATCGCACGCGTGGTAATGCAGCACCTCAATGAGGTCTTGGCATGACTTCAGGATCAAGTTCTTCCTATGGGCGTTGGCATCCACCCTGCAGGGAGAGGGGCACAAGCTCGAGTCCTCGCCAAAACGTGCTGCCCAAAGCTTTGAGGTACCTCCCTGTCGTAACTCAGCTGGCTGAGAAACTGGGTCTTAAAAACTACCGTGTGCCACTGCTGTGTGCTCAGGGGGGAGAGGATCAGAGTTCCCCCCGTTTGTTGCAGTATTTTCTGCTCGTTGCAGTATTTTCTGCTTGCTGAGAACAAACCAGCTCATGTGCCAAAGAGGGGGAGCTGCCTTATGGAGATGCAGCAGGGTGCACAGGGCGACTGCCAGAGCTCTGCCTCATCTGGGATCGTGTGCGAGGCGCAGCATTTTGGGCCAGCTTCTCTCCAGGTCCCAGTCCTGCTGCTCCCTCATAGAGATTTAAAAAAAAAATCCTTGTGTTTTACCTGTGACTGTGCAAATACCGACTTCTGGCAATGCCACACTCACTGATAAAGGGAGCTGTCATGTAAAAACCTTCATGTTCATCTTGCGAGATGCCAAAGCCCAGCTGGAGGCACCCAACACCCCCTGCGTGCCCATGCTTCGCTGTGGTGCCCACATCCTTGCCCTATTGCCAAGGACACTGAGGACAAAGGATCTGCTGCTCTACAGTCATTACCTGACGTTTTCTCGGAGCTTTTTGCTCTCCTTGTAGTGGAGGAACCACTTCCACCTCCCGCTTCTGTTCAGCTTCTCCAGGACCTTCACCACCTCTTTCAGTTGCCCTGGGGAGACAGCAAGAGTGAGCGAGGGTCCTGTTGGAAGCCGGGCACAGTGGGGCCCTCAGGGCTTTGCCATGGTGAGCTGAGGGCTCACAGCCTCTTTGGGATCCCATCCCAGCATTTAAAAACACACTGCTGCAGATTTATCCCCCTGATTCTGAACAGGGTAAAGTGTGAGACTTGTTCTACCACTGCACATCTCCAGGAGGAACATGGATCTGTTTTTTCATCCCATTGAAAAGTTGAAGAGAAACAGGTCTCCCTGTTGCTCTCCCTGTCCAGGCTGGACGTCACTACACATCCCCTGCTTCACCCCAATGGTTTTGGTGGCCAGTACTTAGATATTTTTGGGAGCCGTGATATGGACCCATTTATGCAGATGGGGTCTCAAGCACCGACCAGAGGGCAAAAATTGCTCCCTTTTAGGAGAGGATGCCCGTGGTGTTTTTGGAAGCAAATAGTTGGTAAACCTGCAGATGGAGCCAGGAGCTGAACCTGCTCATCATCTGCATCCAAACGAGGGACTCACCCAACGTCACCGTTTCCAACACCTCACTATCTGACACCACGAAGCCACCAGTATGGAACAGCTCCTGGTACGTCTGATCTGTGATGTCTTCAGGGCTGTCCACTCCAGCAAACACCACGTTGGGACAGTGCTTCAGCCTCAGCAAACACGGGACCTGCTCAAGGCAGAATTATTCTGTGAAAACAGCATCTGGTCCAAGAGAACATTGAGAGCCCACCTCATCCTCTGTCTGCACCACCCTGATGCACACATCTCCGTAGCCCAGCTCTACAACCGTGGGTGCTACAGGCAGATCAATCTGCTGCACATTCCCTGCAGCCCATGAGCCAAAGCTCACCTGAAGGGCTCTGTTCCCATAAATAAATCCATTTTGGGTCCTTTGTGCTGGGCAGCTCCAAGCCTGAGCCTCAGCCCTCACCTTGTGGATGTGTGAGGAGATGTCCTCGTTCCTGATAATGACGAGCAGCCAGTTGGTGTCCTGGTGTTTTGTTCTGCAGAAGCTCAGAGGTTCAATCTCCACGTGGCCATCTTTCTTCAGCAACGTCTGAAAGAGAAATTGTTACATGTTTGTAGAAGAAACATCTTCACAACTGTGCAAGAGCCAGCTGTGATGGTTCCTGATTGTAGAGCATGAGAGCTTCTCAGGCTCAATATTAGGGAAAAATCCTTAGAGTGGTGAGGCACTGGAACAGGCTGCCCAGGAAGGAGTCACTGTCTCTGGAAGCGTCAAAGGAATGTGGAGATGTGGCACTTGGGGACATGGTCAGTGGGCACAGTGGGGATGGGGTTGGACTTGGTGATCTTAGAGGTCTTTTCCAACCTTACTGATTACGATTCTCTTTAGGGACATGCTTTAATGGGCACGGTGACGAGGGGCTGATGTCGGACTTGATCCAACCTCAGTAATTCTCCTTCTGCCCTTGGCTTTGACCCCAAAGCCTCCCATCCCCATCCAACCATTACCTTCACTCTTGCAAAGAAGGGTTCCTCTCCTGTCTCCACCAGGTAGAACATCCCAGGCTGCCTGCACGCCTCCTCGGCCACGCTGCGCAGGCGGAACTGCAGCGTGCTGCACAGCTCTGTGATCACATCCTCAAAGGCAGCAGTCCTCCTGGGGAGGGACGTGCAGCACCGAGCGCTGACGGTCTCCCCGTGTGCCAAACCCTTCCCTCTGCTCTCCCCCTCTGTGTCAACCTTACTCAGCATCACCCTGTTGAACTCTGCGTACTCATCGAGGATAACCGAGATGTCCCCACGGGAGTCCTTCAGTTTATTCTCATATTTCAGCTTGCTGAGATGGAAAGGAGCTGCACAGCCCCGGTTTGGGGAGCTGGCTCTGCTCTTCTGCCACCAGCAGGTGTCCCACGATGGAGTGCAATGGGAGGAGTCCCTGTGGTGGCTGTATTGCTGGTGGGACTTGAGGCCACGTGGCCGTGTGTCTGAGGGCAGGATTGTCACCTGCAAAGGGCTCCTGCTTCGCAGGGAGTGAGGGGCAGGAGCTCCTCGCACAGATGATGGCTGGGGAGAGCAGTCTCTAGGAAAAATGGAGGTAGAAATGGGTGGTGTCCCACTCCTTAGGATCTGTTTTAGCTTATAATGGAAACGGAGATGCTCCATGTCCATAGTGTGCTGGGTGATTTCTTCAAAACCCTTCCAAGTCCCCATCAGTGACTCCAGCAAATGAGTCTGCCCCTGTGAGCTTCCCATCCTGCCCGGGCATTTTGTGGTGACCGTGAAGTTCAGGTAATCCCTGGAGATCCCCCAGCTGTCCGTGATATTGACATAGGGTGGCATGTGCCTGCTGCTGGTATTCCATTGGCTGGTGGGCCACCAGCAGCCCTCCTCAGTGCTCAGCGATCCCCACTCCTCACTGCATCCCTCCGAGCAGCCCGAGCTCATGGAGGATGAGGAATCGCAGTCAGTCCTCGTGGCACCCATGGACCTTGAGCAGTGGCAACCCCTGGGTATAAGAAGGGGGTGAGCAGTGCGTCCCAAGTGCTTCTCCCAGTCCGAGTCACTGGAGGGGGACCTGTAAGATGGATCTTCCCAGCTCAAACCCACACATTTTTCTGTGCTGGGGAAGCGTTTTGCCTTCAGAAGAGCATCCAAAATGTCCCCAGTGTCACTAACCTCTATGCTCTCTCCAGTGTCTGCACGTAGCAGAGATGTTGGCATTGACTGAACAGGGATTTCTCCCTCTTCCAACTCTTCATCAGCACAATTTGGATCAGCCAACACAGCGGAGTCATCCTGGCTGCACAAAGACGCGGGCTCTCCTACGGGCATGAACTCCCCTGCTCCAAATGATGCAGGGGTGGTAGGAGGGATGCTGCTTCCTCCCTCGCACTCCTCAGGGCTCCCGGGGCAGGCACACCTGCTGTCAGCATCTGATGGTAGCTGTCCCATGCAGCTGGAGCTTGGGGCAGCATCTGGAGCACGAGTTGGACTCATTTTGGGGCCCGTGCCAAAGACTGGGTCTGGCTCAGCCTTGTGCCCACGCAGAGGAGAACAAGGCCTCGATCCCAGCTCTCCAGGCGTCAGCATATCCAGAGGAGAGCTCTCTGCAGGCTCTGCGTGGCACAGCCCCAAGTCCTTCTTCACTCCTTCTGCACATTCAGGCTTCAAGGAGCCATCCAGTGCTGGGTTCTCAGCGGCCACACTCTCCTCTACAGCAGCCACTGTCTTGCAGGGCTTTCCATGTGGGCACAGGTCTGGTTCCTGCTCACTTTGCTCTAATAAGCAGCAATGGGGGTCTGCAGCAGTACCGTGAGAAGGGTCCTGATGGGGGGAAGGTAGGGATGGGCTGTTTGGAGAACTTTGCTGGTGCTGGGCCACAGTGAGAGGTGATACATCACCAACAGGCTCCTCCTCTCTCATTGAGGAGGAAGAACCTGATTCTAACAGGTCACAAAGAGAGGTCTTCAGCTCCTGTGGTGCATCAACTACGCTCATTTCATTGCTACTAGGGGGCTCCTCTGCACCGAGGCACACATCAGTGATTGCCTCAGTGTCAGAGCCACCTGCCCAGGCTGCACAGCTGAAGGCAAAGCCCTGACCATCACATGCTCCCGAGGGCTCATCCAGCACATCTGTGTGGTTGGCAGAAGGACTGCCATGCTGCCCTTGTTCCAAAACCTCGTTCTGGTCTGGGTGCGACTCACCAGCGTTCAGCAAAGTGAGCTCAGTGCTAACATCACCTGCATACCTTTGGGAAAGGCTCCCTCCTGGGCCACTCCTTGGTGGAGTCTGGAGGAATGCCTGGAGGAGAGCTGTGGCCACCTGGTCCTCCGGAGCAGCCCCCACATCAGCTCCTCCATCGAAGCAGACAGAGCTGGCGTCAGGGGACTGGGTTAGGAAGGGTTCCTGACCTCGTGGTGACTCAAGGCCAGTTGTGCAGGCAGTTTTGCTCCCAGCAGGCCCCCGTGTTTCTGCAGAGGGCGCACGATCCTCATCTTTCTCTTCCAACCCATCCCTCAGCATCTCCCTGGCAGATCGGCAGCTGCTCGTGACAGTAACCCCACAGACAAGGCTCAGAACGGGGGACAACGGCAGCACTGACACGGGTCCGTCTGCGTGTGCCAAACCCACACCATTTGTCTCTGCCCTTGGGGTGGCCAAAGTCCCCCAGGGCTCTTGCAGAGCACTCAGGCTGAGGGCTGCACCACCAGAAAGTCCTTGAGGTCCAGCCCCAGTCCCACCCGACGGCGCTGGCACTGATCCATTCTCGCAGGGTAACACAGAGGCAGTGGGGATGGACATAGGGCCATCTCCAGGAATGCCAAAGTCCTTTGGAGGTGCTGAATTCACCAGCTGTACATCACCTCTTTCTAAAAATGCTAAATCGACAGGTCTTGCGAACGTGCTTTCATTTTCCAACTCTTCTTTCTCTCTTTTCCCCTCCTCCACCTTTTCCTCCTCTTTTTCTGTATGTCCTATGGGGTCTTGTGATTCCTTCTCTTCTTCACCAAATCCAATGGGGTTTGAGTGAGTTTTGAGACTTGCTTCTGAGGGCATCGAATCACGGCAACGTTGGGGTCCATCGCTGGCGGCCCAGCTGCTGTCCATACCATGTCCAGCATCTTCCGTGCTCCCCCTTTCTTCAGGAGGACTGGGGCCACCTGCCCATCTGTTCTCAGGCTGCTCTCCACCTCCATGCTGAGCACACAGGGCATCACTCTGGGGAGCTGGGCTGAAATTCAGAATTTGGCCGTGTGGGTTTTCCCTGCCCAGCACAGTCTGGGGCTCACCAGCATCACCAAGCTCAATGGAAGGGCTGGGGATCATCCCAGCATCCATCAGTTCCTCCTTGAGTGGCTCAACCTGAAACAACATAATTCAGAGGTTAACCTTCAAGACAGGAACTGAGAAATCCCATACATGAGGACATCAGACATTTTAAAAACCCAGACTTTGTCAGTACAACCACCCCAATGGCATCTGTGGAGACAAGTTTGCTTCCCAAATTAGTCCAGGTTGAACCTTTACCCCACAGGAGCCACTGCCATGCCCACAGACAGCCAGGGAAAAGATCTGAAGCTTTTTATCTTCTTTATACAGTGAGGAGGCTTAAGAACAGACCAAACGGTACTGAAATCCCAGTAAGTATCATTCACAAGCTGGAAAATGCCCAGAGGAGACAGGCAGGCTTTTGAAACCCCATCCTGGGATAGTTGTGTTTTTCCTTCTCCCTCATTTAAGAGTACAGACCTTTAGACTGATTAAAAAAACTGAGCCATGCTGGATCTCCAGTGACTGAGGGTTTGTTTGCTCAATAGTCTTCTCTCCAGGGTCTGGAGAAGTCCAGTGGTTGAGGGTTTGCTCAGACCCTGGAGAGAAGATGCTTGTGTTTATGTGGCCTTGAGAAAACTGATATTTACCAGCTCCAATTCTTTGGGATTCCCACACATTGTGCTCCTGTTCTCTCAGTCAGTGATGGACACAGCTTCTCTCTGAGCCCAGAGATACAGTTCAGTCTGTGAACTGGAATTGAGGCCTGAAAATTTTTTATTTATTTATTTTTTTTTTTGAGAACCCTGTGCATGTGTGCATTGGGCAGCAAACTGTTGAGTGATTTTCATGTATCATGATTCAGGGAGCTGAACTCCCTCGCTCCAAGAGAGCTCATAGGCACACCTGCTCCATTCCTCCCACAAGAACCTACTTGCACAAAATGCATCGTGTGCCCTGCAGGCTCATAGCACCCACACCCCAAGCTCTTACTGCAGTGACAGTTGAGATGTCATGTACACACTCCTCAGCTCTGTATTTTCCAGCCAGGTTGCTCTGATCTGCGTGTTCAGTGAGAGAAGGGCTCTCTGAGCTCGTGGAGGAAGGCTCCTCCTCCCCTGAAAAGGATGATACCGTACTATCTACAACACCAGGAGTCCCATCAGCATCAGTTTGAGAGTCTGCAGGGCTCTCCTCTGGGTGGAAACAGCCTTGGCAGTGTGTGCTGGGATCCAGAGAGCTGCTAGGAGTCTGGTCAGGGTCTGATCGTGAATCCGCAGGGCACGTCTCCAACTCAAAGCAATCATCACTGTCTTCACTCAGCTCAAAAAAGTCTCCAGTGCTGTTTAGTGAGACGTATTTCTTGGGGTTGCTGTGCTCCACCACCTTCCTCGTGCTGCTCAGGAGTTTGCTGGGCTTGCTGTAGAACAGAGCTACCCACATGTGAAGTATCAGCTTCATCTCTTCCACGTCATCGGGTAGATCAGAGTCCCAAGGCCTGGAAGAGAAAGCGAACACAGCCTGAAGTCATGGAATCATCCGAGTTGGAAGGGATCCTTAAATGTCATCTAATCCAACTCCCCTGCAATGAGCACAGACATCTATATGCCCTCCTCTTCCCTCTGCTTAACAAAGGTAACTGATCTCCAGTGCTAAACCTCAGTGCATGGGGGCTGTAAGTGCTCAGCTGCATTACTTGATGTGGTTTCCAACTTGAAAATAAGAGACATTTACAGCTGCAAACAGGCAATTCCGTGCACAGCTCCAGGCACTCATTCTATCTCCAGAGGCACAGAGCTCTGACACAACAAAATGGGACATCTCAGCATGGTGAAAAGGGCATTCATCATACAAAGCAAAGGGAAAAAAAAAGCATAGAAATCCCATTCCCAAAGTGCTCTAGCAGGAGATGTCCCCTCCAGATGGCCTTCCAGGCTTGACTTACCCATGCAAGGCACGGATGACTGTTTTCTCCAGGGCATCATTGGTGTACCTGCTGTCCAAATGGAAGAGATACTCCTCCTCCCACTGGCACGTCACCTTCATGGACTCACCGCAGTGGTTGACCGTGTGGGATTTGGCAAAGTCCTCTTTTAGCCTCGGAGGCCGCAGGCTGCTCCTGCGCCTTGCCATCGTGGCCTCAAAGGGGCTCTGAGGGCAGGTGTTGTTCTGGTGGCGGAAGGGCAGGACCTTCCCAACCAGGGGTGCTGCTCGGGAGCTCCTGGTCCCATTTCTGGAGGGCACTGAGCCAGGGTAGGGGACACCTCTGTGTTTCTTTGAGTGCTCAGGCATCAGCGAGGCGTAGGAGTGCTCGGAGGAGATGAAGGAGTGTTTGTTCACCTCGGTGGCCTCCTGTGTTGGAGGCAGCACACACGTTTGTTGGCTGTTCTTGCTGTTAAGCCCAAGGCTTTTCTCTCCAGGAATAGGGGTTGAGTCTTTTAATTCTGTTTTTCCAATAGGGGGAAGCTTCTGGTTTGGAGATGCTTTAGTAGACGAGACAGCTGCCTTTGCAAGCTTGTCTACCCTGTGGTATTCGTGGTCGGAAGCACTGCGTGAGGACTTGGGCTTACGATGACTCTGCTGCTCCTTGGCAGAGTCAGTGGACGAGCTGCAGGACAAAGAGATCATCCTGCTGTCCACGAGGTTAAAGGGAGGAATACAAGAACCCAGAGCCAGGTCTGCCAGCAAGTTCAAGGCATGGGACTCGTAGTCACTGCCCTTCGTATCGAAAGCATGGCCAGAGATGCTGCTGGGATAAATCTCACCCATCTGGCTGTCTGCTGCTTGGCTTTGGGAAGAAACTTCACTTGGGAGGATGGAGAATGGATCCTTCCACTCTGCATTAAAAAAAAAAATAGAGTAAGTGAAGGTCAGAGAGAGGGGGCTCAAAATGAACAGCATTTAGACAGATGCTGTGGCATCCTGCACCTCTCCAATATCTCCACATTAAGGACCTGTTTGTCAGGAAAAGGATGCTTCTCCAACACGAGCTTTGCACGTTCATAAAAACCCCAAAACCTCCGTGGTATGAAGGTGATGGGTGCTGCAGAAGGACCCAGAGTTTGGATCCTGACTTCAGGAAGTGGGTAATTCTCAGAAATCAATGGCATGGGATGCAGAGATAAGAACTGTGCTGGAGTTTTGTGTGTTATGTTTAATATCCTTGGGAAATGCACCCAAATGTGGGACACATCAATTGAGTGTTTTTCACTGCTAAACACTCTTATTTTGCATTTTTGGCAGATTCTGGTGTTCAGCTTTTATGAGTTACAAACAGCAATGTGGGCAGACTCCTCTGAATGAACCAAACTCAACAGCAGGACCCACCCTACACACTGCCCACGCCACAGAACTGGCTAGAACTGCTCCAGAAACCTCCACGTGACAGCAGAGCTAATAAAAACTGCCACGTATCAGGAAGTCTGACAGCATGTGGCAATAACAGACTGAGAAAATTGGATAAACTGAGCCAAAGTGGTAAAACCAGTCTTGAAAGCCTCCACGAAGAGGGAAAATAAAGACCAGAGACAAATCTGAAAAGACATCAAAGAGTGAGTGTGAGAAAACATGACAAATTAGCAGAAAGTGTCTCTCCTGTTCCATCATTTGTTTTGGCAGTCCAACACTGGTGCTCAGTTGAAAAGCAGACTCCCAGCCAGCACCTGCAGACGTTTCACTTTGGGACTATCCTAGATGCCTCCTAAATCCACTGCAGTCTGTCTGCAAAGGGTTTAACAGCCCCACTCTGGTTTTGCAGTGTAACAGACCTGACCCTAATCCAGACCCTAAGTATCAAAAGGCCCTTTTGGCAGCTGCTGAATGTGCTGTTATCACTACCTGGTCATGACCTGACAGTGATGTTGGATGGCTCTGTTTTTAAGCTAAATATTTCCATAAGGAGCAGCATTCTTACCGCTTTCTGCTGGCTTTTTGGTGTGAGGTTTTGATGGCCTGTTAGCCACGCTTTTTATCACCTGACTCTTCACTGGCTTTGCAGTGCTTTCAGTAACAGGAGCCTTTTTCACATCCAAATTCTTCAGCATCTTTGGTCTCTTTGTTTCTGAGCCAGAACTGCTGGGAGCTGAGGTTCTCTTCTGGACAGGTTCAGACTGTGTTTTGTGTACAAATTCTGCAGACAGCACCTCTGCACCTGGGACAAGGAAAAGGGAGGGCATACAAGGACTTATTCCACATCCATCAGCTCTGAGCACTGGGGAGGAACACGAGGAGACGTGGCTCCTAAAAAGCCATCTATCCAAGCTGGATACCCCGGAGAAGCAGGAGGAAGTCAGCCCCAATTATTTAGCACTTACCTCTTTTCCTTCTGTGAGGAAACTGTAAATGGGCTAATTTAAGCATGGGCTCGTTGGAGTTGGCTGTAAGCCCTGTTTTTTTAGGAAAAGAGAACGTGATGTTGACTGTCTTGGTCGCTTTCCTTTTCCTACTGCTATCCCCCACAGGATGTATTTGCATCTTGAGGGGTGACCATTTCTTCCTGGTGCTTGTCACAGCAGTTCCGCTGGATTTCCTCTTGTTCTGCTTCACCCACAGCTTGCTAGATGCACTGACATCTTTTGTGGGCCCTTTGCTCTGGTCCAGCCCCAGAACAGCCTTTGGGTTTCCACCTGTTACGTCAGGAGGGATTGGGTCTGGTGGTACAGCTAAAGAGAAGTCAGTCTCTGAGTTGCTGCAAAGAGACTGAGCAGCACCAGCCAAGCATCCTAAGGCAGCTGACATTTCCAGAGTGTAGCTGCTGGGATTGGAGAAGTAATGCTGCAGCTGGGAGAAAGACTGCTCGGAGTGTCCTCTGCAGGATTTAATACCTTCATCCTCGGCTGGTGACAGGCAAGAAGAACAGGGAGCTTCTGTGATTTGGCTGGAGGCTTGCTGTGTATTTTCTTCAAGCTTTGCATACTCCTGGAAGTGCTGTTTGATGCACACGTTGGTACCGAGCGCGTCCCCCCACGAAGAATTGGTGGCTTTCTGCAAGGCATAGCGAAGTCCAGGCAAAACAGAGGCTATTTTCAAAGAGATGTCACTAGCTTTCCTTTCACAATTTAGATTATGTCCTTCAACTGAAAAAAGAAAAGAATTTTACTTATATCAATAAAGGATTACGTTCCCCAAATCATTTTACTATTACATGACAAGAGAACATGAAAGGCATGAGCAAATCCCCAAAGCCAACCCACAAAAAGCTTATCAGGTTTGTTTGTCTTTTTTTTTGCAAGGTACAAAAGAATGGCATACAGGAATCAAAAGTGGATAAACCGAGGATGAAAGACCCCTGGTGTATCCACGAGCTCCCTTCTGCAGTCTTGTCCCCTTATTCCAGCAATTTTTGGGAAGTCTTAACATTTAGGACTGAGACCTCTGAAAATAATGAAAACTCTCCTTGCCTGCTTCAACCCCCCCAGGTGCCTCTGTGGGATGTGGGTGATAACAGGCTACTCAATCTAGACATGCTAACAAAACCAAACCAAACCTTCCTCCAACACCAAGACTACTTCATTGAATGAGGTGAATATTGGTTGTAGATGATTCCTCCCTACAGAGAATTGAATTCTCTTCATAGAAAAGTCTGCTGTCTTCATGGGGCTCGGGTGAGGGATGTCACTAGGAAACTATCCAGCCTGGAGCAGCTGCCAGATCACAACTCCTTATTGCTTTCCAATATAGGGAGAGATCACCTACACGTGGGTCAAGGGCCATCAAAAGGGACTTCAAGGCCTAAGGATGGTGGCTAAAGGAATCAAATGCACAGGTCATCTATTCTTCTCTGCCTGCTATAGTGGATAGGGACACAGAAACAAACCAAAGGATCTTAGCTTTAAGTAGTGACTTTAGCTTTAAGTGTGACTGCAGCTGTTGCCAGAATTTTGGATTTTTAGCCTATGTAGTACTGGGTTTGTGGGCATCAGATGGGGTTTGCTTTTCTCAAAGGGGGAAAAGGGTCCTTGGGGAAAAGCTAATGAGGCTCATTGTGAGGGCTTTAAACTTGGTCTGAAGGGAGACTGGGGGGATAGAGAGCCTTCCCATGGTCAGGTGTTTCTCTGGGAAATAGTCCTCATGGGCAAGGGTGAGGAGCAGAGCTGGCACATCTTTAAGGAGGCTTTCCATCCCCAGGAAAGGAAGGCAAGAGACCAGCGTGGCTGAACTGGGACCTGCTGGTCAAACTGAAGAGCAAGAAGAAAATGCACAGGCAGTGGGAACAGGGACAGGTATTGTGGGAATACTGTAAGGAAACTGCTAGGCTGTGTAGGGATGGGGTCAGAAAATCCAAGGCCCAACTTGAACTGAACTTGGCAAGGGATGCTAAGAACAAGAAAGGCTTCTACAGGTACCTCAAACAAAAAAAAGGAAAGTCCAGGAGGGCCCACAGTGAAGGATACAGGCAGGCTGGTAACAACAGACAAGGAGAAGGCTGAGGTGCTCAACAACTTTTTTGCCTTGGTCTTCTCTGAGAACTGCTCTCCACACAGCCCTCAAACATTTGGTTTGGTAGGAAGGGATGAGGGAAGCAACGTCCCTCTCACTATGAGTGAAGGTCAGGTTTGTGACCACCTGAGGAACCTGAACATCCACAGGTCTGTGGATCCTGATGAGATGCATCCCAGAGTCCTGAGGGAATTGGCTGATGTGGTCATCAAGCCACTCTCTATGATATTTGGAAAGTTGTGGCAATCAGGTGAAGAAGTCCCTGGTGACTGGAAAAAAGGCAACATCACACCCATTTTTAAAAAGGGTAAAAAGGATGACCCTGGGAGCTACCAACCAGTCAGCCTCACCTCTGTGCTGGGGAATGTTATGGAGCAGATCCTCCTGGAAGCTATGCTAAGGCACATGGAAGGCAGGGACAGACTCTTTAGGAAGGTCTGCAGTGACAGAACAAGGGGAAACGGTTCCAAGCTCAAAAAGGGTAGATTTGGGTTAGATACAAGGAAAAAATTGTTTACAGTGAGGGTGGTGAGGCACTGGCACAGCTTGCCCAGAGATGTAGAGGATGCCCCTTTCCTGGAGACTTCCAAGGCCAGGCTGGATCAGGCTCTGGGCAATCTGATCTAGCTGTGGTGTCGCTGTGCATTGCAGGGAGTTGGACTGGATGGCCTTCAGAGATCCCTTCCAACTCTAAGGATTCTATGATTCATCCACTGCAAGACTGCAGCCAGTCCGATGCTTTGCAGGCTTGGCCCATCTGCATATTAAAATCCAACTCATGTTTCTTTTGGCTGCAGGGCCAAGCTGACAGCCCCAGCATCCTTCCCCATCATTTCCCCTCGCAGCAAGACTAAATCCAGGCACGCCTGGGGCAGGCAGGAACTTCTCTCACTCTCTGAGATGCATGGTTTTCTTCACCTATTGGCCTTGTGCTGCCTTGCACTGGCAATGCTGCTCCTTGCTATCAGCAAGCCCAGGCATCCTATGAGCCTGGCTGGGGAACACGGCAGCACGTCTGCACAGTGAGTGTTATGCTGCCCTACATTCCTCCTGTCGGCTGTCTGGACAGGAAGAACACAGCTTCAGAGGCTGCTGGCTTTGAAATGGAAAACATTATTCATGCTTCAAGTTAGAGCTGAGAGATTTTAAACGTGTGCGTGCGCTTCACTCCCTTTTCTCTTTGTCCCTGTCCCTTTCAGTTGCCATTATTTTCTGTCTCCCAAATCTTCTTGTAACTTATCATCACAGAGAGGAGAAGCCATAAAGTAAAATCTCAATCCCAGAGGACAGGCACAGCTGGCTGGAATTACGCAGTTCACAGGAAGAAATGGGACAGCACGTGCAGGAGCCTTACTGGCACCAGGGGGAAAATATCTGGAAGCCATCAGCGTTCAGACCGTGTCACACAACAACATGGAGCATTTGCTCAACATTATTCCCTCCTGCTGCCTTTTCATTTCACTGTTCTCTGGCTGCCCATGCTTCCGTCATCAGCCCTAAACGTCTGCAGCAACCCTCCTACTAACATCCTGTGCCATCTCTGCTTCAAGATGCTTCGTATGTCTGGTCCAGTCCCACCTCCTTCCACAAGAACCCTCTTCAAGACAAACACCTTCAGGCCTCGTTCTTCCTTCTCTCAGCATGAAGTTCTTGCCAAAAACGAAAACCCTTTGCTCCAGAGGGCATTTTCCCCCTTTTATGGGGTTCAATATGAGTGGTCAGTTCTCTCCTCCAGCCTGATCTCCACATTTTCCCCCTATCACCTCACCCAGCTTGACGCCCTTGCTTCAAACTTTGCAGCAAAAACCTCCTGACCCTACAGTTGCCCTGGTTTGAAAATCCAAACTACCACCTCTGAGTGTGTGCATCTCTCTCTTACAGCCAGAAAAGTTTCCAAATTAACAGAGTCACCAGCAACATGCTTAAAATCTGCACTCCTCATTGCCAAGTTACCATCATGTCTTCATCAGACCTGCAAGCCCGTTTCATAGGCAGATCTTAAAAGTTGATAGCTGGAGGCTAAACAACTTTCTGGTGCCCATGCTCAAATGGGCAGGAAGGTCCTGTTGATTTTTCTGCTGATTTCATCTTCAGGGGTGACAGCAATGTCCTGGCAATGCCAGTTGTCACAAACACACATAAATTGCAACAGCAGTGCGTGCTGGCATGAAAGGTCTCTTGGCTCATCCCTAGAGTGACTCAACAAAAAGCCAGCCAGGATTTATGCAGAGTGAAAGGCCCCTGCTAACATCCTGCTTGGGGATCTGCATTTCCACGTAGTGCAGTAAAAAGCCCATAGATACTGAGAGAACTTGAGATTGCCCCTGCCCAGCAGAACCCATTTCACTTGATATATCATCAGAAAATGATACACTTATTTTTCAGGGCAGGCTTTCTTCCTGCTGCTTATCAAACTACATTAGTTCTGTGCAGGGTCCAGCAAGTGCCATATGTTGTTATATTCCCTGAGCAGAGCTCCAGAGCACCTTCATGGATGTAACTCAGACTCCCATGCATCATGTAAGTCAGTGCAGAAAGCAGATGCTGCTGAAAACTGGCTGAGAGGAAGAAAAGCAATTATTTTTCACACACATCAACTTGCTGTAAAGGGACAAGGATGTGTGGTGAAGGATTGAAACACGGGGACCTGGTTCAGACAGCAGCATAGCTAAGCAGATGGGATTCAGCTCTCCTCTTTTAACACCCTTTGCACTAAAGCTGTAGGTGGTGTTGAACAGAGAAATCAGCTCTTCAAGAGGAATGTGCCTGCGAGGACCCTCTGGGAAGGATCCTGCACCCAAAATGCAGCATCTGAAACCAGCAATGGGAACCTCCTACCTCTCAGACACACCGATCGGGATGAGGAGAACAGAAACAGGGCCAGGAGGCTGACAGGCTCCTTGGGGTCGAATCCTGTGAAATGAAGTGACAGGTTTTGGTTAGACTGAGGGTGTTCATTCTCTGTCTCCAAACCAGGGCAGGACATTCAAGCCCAAGCATTGGTTTCTTTGTCTCCATGCATTACCATCATCTTGTGCCAATGCAGAGGACGTCAGGAGGATTAGAACTCCATGATCTTGTAAATATTTGATGATTGCCTGTAACAGACAAATACAGAGTTAGAGCAATCCCTCCCTTTCCCTCCAAGCGTACTTTAACTCACAACATGATTGTCAGCAAGCCCTGATTGCTGGTGAACATGTGCCAACACCACCAGCTCGTTCCCTGCTGAGAACACTGCCATGCCACTTGAGTCACAGGGACCTGGAACCCAAAGTCTTCCATTTAAGGTTGTTATTCTTCTCAAAGTCCTTCCATCTGTTACTTAAAATGAGATATACACTTAGCCAAGCTGATTGCAATTAATAAACAAGGTCAATGGTTTTAGTCCCTTCGGTTCAAAAGTTTCTGGGCCTCTCAGCAGCACAATGGGAGGTTTTTCCCAGAAGGGAAAGCAAAGTTGGACATGAGCATCAGACAGCACAACCCACAGCTCCAGCTAAAAGCTGAAGCAAAGAAACAAACAAAATCACATCTGCTGAGCCCAGGAGACTGCTGTGACTGTCTCAGAAGCGGATGATTGTATGTCTGAAAAATACACATGTGCTTATGAAGGCTTTCCTTGTAGCTGGGTGTTGCCTCACGCCTCATTGCAGAGCTTGGTTTGGGCCGCCCTTTCTTCCACAGGGACACCCGTTAGGATCTCTTTTTTTTTCTGTGCAGACACATCTTTAAAGGGAACTTACAGGAAATGAGTAACTCTAGGGTTCCTAACGCTCTGCGAAACCTCACTGATCCCATTCAGTGCACTCAGACATAACAGAGGATTGGAACGATGCCCAACCCTCACTCCTCCCCATAACAACGGAGCAACTTTGGAAATGCTGAACAATTTCAGTGTATTATTCACTATTCAGAACAGTAGCTCCTTGCTTCCATTGTCTCCAGCCAGCAGAGCAGAACAGATAAAAAAGCCAAAACGTCGGCTGGTTCAACGAAACAGCTGTTGTTTCTCACCAATGGGGTGATTTGTACTTCATCTGCCACCTGACACGAAGCTGGGAGGTCACTCTGCACCTACAGGGGTAGGGCTGTCCTCAGGCAACCCCACTTCTTCCCAGCCACTCTTTCATTTTCACTTGCAAGCCAGGTATAGTGAACCATAGAAAGGGAAAAGAAGCAGAGGGCATTTTTCACCTGGGCTTCCAGGAGCTGCTGCCAAAGCAGATTCACCCATGGCCTTCAACTGTATGTTGGGAAGGAAGAAGCAGACAAGAGTGAGCTGTGAATGTTTCCTCACTGAAATATGGGAGGTGGTTTAATCCAGTTTGACAGGGATGTGAAGGTGGGGAAGCTTTAGGGAAAAGTTCCTGTTGGCTTTCAATGCCAAAGTCCTTATGGCCACAACTGAACCATCTCATCTCCCCTGACTCCTCTAAAGCTCAGCTCTGTGAGGTTTGGCAGGATGCACTTTTTAACCCTAAGTGATTGGAGACATAATGAATCAGAGCAAATGGTCACTATAGAACTCAGTAAGAAAGGCACTTAGGACTCCGTGCAGATTAAAATCTCTCTCATTGGTGAGAATATGAGAAGGAAACAGGAACAGCATAAATAAACATCAGATGAACTTCAGTGCAAATGGGTCCGTGCCACAGCTAGAACTTCTTCTGATAGAATCATAGAATATGGTAAGTTGGAGGGACCCACAAGGATCAGAGGATCCAACTGGGGCCAACCAAAAATCACATCATAAAGGAATCATAGATGCTGCACAGTTCAGGAATCCCAACATGTGAAGGGACATTAACGTTGTCTATTCCATCCCCTCTTTTTTCTTCTCATACTGTCACCAATAAGAGGCACAATTTGCCTCTGATCAATATTTTATGGAGTTTAAGCACTTGCACAACTGGAGCACAGCCAGCTGTGTGTTTGTAGCTGTGAATTTACAACCCTGAATCTACAGGAAGTGTCAGAAGTGACAAAGCAACCAGAAGCAGCAAAGCCAACCATACCCCATTGTCCAGCAGATGTAACTGCTGTGTACCTCAGGGATTTGACTCTTGAAGTCAAAAGGAGATGTGAAGATCACACTGGGAACAGAAAGACCTCAGTGTGCTGGAAAACACTTAACTTAGCAATGATGGAGGGGAAATAGTCTGTTAAAGCAAAGATGAACCTCAATATCTTCAGGAGCCCAAGAAGCAGTGTATCTGTATTGAAGTTGGACAGGGACTGTTTTTTCTGCCATGGGGGATAAAGGCAGGCACATGACAGCTGGTGTCTTTTGTGATTATCATTCCAGCAGTGTGGGACTTAGCTTCTGCTTTCCAATAAGATTCCTTTGCAGTAATGATACTTGCAATGCACAGACAATTCAATAAAATAATCTCATCTGACACAGTCACAGCCAAAGAAGAGGTCAGCTGGTGTATATAAGCTTTCCTCCCCAAACGTTTTACAATACTTACCAAGTCCCTTTTCCTTAGATTTTCTAGCAGCTGATCCATTTTATCTTGATCCTTATTGGATATTTCCACTTCATACAGACTGAAGTAAACGCCCTGAAAGCAAACTGCAGATAAAAGAGAGAGAACTTGATACAAGAGCAAAACAAAACAGTGCTCCCATAGCAGGGGGATGGATGTGAAACTGATGGCAATACTGATTTGGGGGGGTTGTTTTTCTTCAAATGCTGTGATCAAGATTTCCTAAGCTGGTCTATATAGTTATGTTATAGTGAGTTTCCTCTTCAGCTCATGCTTCAGAGGAGATGTTTCCTGTCTTATCTGTGTAGCTAACAAAAACAGTTTAACTGGTGCTGCTGTGTGCTTCAATATATACAGGAAGCCTTTTGGAGGTAAAGATCTCATTCTAAAGTGCTGCTGCAGTTCGTCCTTATTCTGTCTGCACTCTCATCCCAAGGGGAGTTTAACAAAAGCAAGTTCTCAGTCTCACCCCACTCCTTTATGAATCTCACAGCAAAATTCTTCAGCTCAAATGAGTGTTTCCTCTCTTTCATCAACCAATTGTAAGAATGTAGCTCCAAGGCAGCTTAATCAAGCACTGCTGTGGCCTCCCCTACTTCTGCTTCCTCCCATGTCCTGGCACTGCCCTCTGTGTAGATCTGCACTGTAAGCTGAATGCTAGACCTCAAAGGAGCCTCATCAGTTCCATGATCAGGCTCACACAGGTGATACACTCACTGGAGGAAGCACTGCAGCAGCCTACGTTTATTTTGGTGCAAGATACCAGGAAAATTCACATGGATATTCTGCAAATCATATCAGAGCTCTCAGTGTGCAACCTGCAATATCACCTCCTACAGGGAGGTGATTGTCCCTCTCTACAGGGAGGTGATTGTCCCTCTCTACTCGGCTCTTGTGAGGCCCCATCTGGAGTACTGTGTCCAGGTGTGGAGCCCTCAGTACAAGAAAGACATAGAGATTTTGGAAAGGGTCCAGAGGAGGGCGACTGAGATGATCAGGGGCTGGAGCACCTCCCCTATGAGGACAGGCTGAGGGAGTTGGGCTTGTTCAGCCTGGAGAAGAGAAGGCTGCGGGGTGACCTCATTGCAGCCTATCAATACCTGAAGGGAACCTACACCCACGAGGGGAGTAAACTCTTCAAAAGGGCTGACAACAGCAGGACTAGGGGAAATGGATCCAAGTTGAAGGAGGGAAGATTTAGGTTGGATGTTAGGGGGAAGTTCTTTACAAGGAGAGTGGTTAGGCCCTGGAACGGGCTGCCCAGGGAGGTTGTGGATGCCCCGTCCTTGGATGTGTTCAAGGCCAGGTTGGACGGGGTCCTGGGCAACCTGATCTGAATGTGGATGTTTGGTGGCCCTGCCAGGCAGGGGAGTTGGAACTACATGATCCTTGAGGTCCCTTCCAACCCAGGTGATTCTGTGATTGCTGCTGGTTATGTCTGTGAATATCTGTGTCAGTAACTGTGTGCCTGCTGCAGTCACAGCCACTCACAGCCAATCAGGAGCTCAACTCTCAAGAGCTGAGAGTTGCCAGGATCATCGAAACCTCAACCCAAAAAGCAAACAGCACATGAATCATACAGATGCAGGTACAGGCAACCTCCTTTTGTGCCCTCTGCCAAGCAGAGCAAAGTGCTTCACTACAGACACCACACCACAGTGGCAGGTTTTTACACTCACCTTCATTCTCAATGTAATTCCTTTTCCCAAATGCAGCTTCTGGAAGCTTTTTCTTCAAGTCAGACAAACCCATGACATGGTTAATGTCCAGGTTGTGAGGGCTATGGGGAGAAAGGAGCAGAGGGTCAGAACACATGCATAAAAGGCTCTCAGGATTAGCCACAGCAAAAATCCCAGGTGGCCCCATCACTAAGAACCAGAGAAAGCAGCTCTGGAGAAGCTGGAGATGCAGCTTGCTTAGCATTTAGCTGGTTGGAAGATCTTGCCTGAAAACTCCTCCAAACACTGATGATTCTGTTACTGGCTGTTTCAAGTTGCTGACTGCTGGTTAACCTCTGACTACTGAAGATTTTTAGTATTTCATTTTTTTTTTGAACGTTAGTTGCCTCAATACTTGGTTTATTTTCCAATCTGTAAACATAAGTGGCTGACTGTATCTGCACTGTCAGAAAGCCCATTTCTCACAGGGCAAGCAAGTCCCACACAGGGATTATTCTTTTAGAATAAACATCCCCAAATGGTCTACATAGCAAAGCACTGACAAAATGTAACTGTTTCCAGCTGTAGTACAGGGCCTGATCTTGTGTCCTCCTCCAGCTGCTACTGTGACACTGCTGGCTGCCCAACACCCCTTCCTGACACTGAGAATTCCCTCTACATATATGTGTGTGGGTTCAAGGAGTTGCTGATCAACAAAGGGATAAAGCAGGAGACACAAAATTGGCTTTTGCTGCCTCATGGATGCTGGAAGTCAACCAACCTGTCTGCTAAGAACCCAAAGGTGATCCCAAAATCATCACCAAAAGTGGCTGCAATGCTCTGCAGAAAGAAAAGGAAATGGCAACTTACAGCTGTGCTGGAATTGTGGAGCTGTATGGGGTCTTTAGGGCAATGTTGCACAAGAGCTGGCCCTGGATGGAGAGCTGCCCCCTCCATGGGCAGTACAGTCCTAAAGGCAGAAGGGAGAATGTCTTAGGGAAAGGAAGAGAGGAGAGCAAACAGAACGATTCATTTATGAAAATAAAACAACAGTGATCAGATGCTCTTACCTTTGTGGTTAGGTTCAGGTCTAGAGAAAAGGGAGAAAAAGAGGAATATTTAGCAACAAGGAAGGGAAAACAGCCCACAAAAGCAATGCAGTACTTCAGAATAACAGCAAGCTGCTTACAGGCTCTCTCTAGCCAAGATGGGCATTTCCTTTGGCTCCCTGTACTGGCAGGCAATGACTATGTATGGGCAGATCTGCCTGGGGCGCTCAGCAGTGCTGCCCTCGGACACTTCATACACGTAGTACTGGGGTGAGAAGGGAGAGAGAGAAGAAAATAAACGTTAAGGAATGAGCAAGGCACCTCAGCCAGCACTGCTTTTCCCTGCTGCCCCAAACCCCATACCTGGTTCTGTTCAAAGGCTTGGCAGGGGCTGCTCTTTGATGACATGATGCTCGTGCTCATGGCAACGTGACAATCATAGCCAGGAGATGGGCAGGTGTAGCTGGTTGTGTAATTCTCAGATACCACCTTGACCTTTCCCTGTGTGAAAAAAGTAAACAAGCCTCTGACATATAAAAACCCACGTAAGTGTTTGCAGAAATATGTTTTAAAAGAATCCCTGATCGCTTTTTTCCCCAAAGAAAACTGCTACTGGCAGCCAGATTCTCCCTACTGTGAGGGGTTTGAAAGCATTTGAATCTTCACAAATAGGAGGACTCCTCTGAGCTTGTCATAGCAGACAATAGGAGTAATGTGTTGTCATTGCAGGAGCTCAAGGGAAAAGGAGGGAGGAGCCATACCCCAGTCCCATGGAAGAAGAGAATGGAGCTATGATCTGAACCACCCTAAGAGGTGTTCAAGGCCAGATTGGATGGGGGCCTGGGCAGCCTGGTCTGGTATTAAATGGGGAGCTTGGCGGCCCTACATATGGCAGGGGAGTTGGAGATTCGTGATCCTTGAGGTCCTTTCCAACCCTGGCCACACTGTGATCCTAAGGCTTCTGCCTTGAACCCCTTGAAAAATACATAACAGTCCAGGGAAAGAAGTGAAAAAACCCTATTGGGAATTTGGAAGGTCCTCTGCATCCCTGCAAACCATCAGCCAAAAGCAGTGTGATACCTTGCTTTCTAATCTGACACATCCCACGGTCAAAAATCCCCAACAGCTCTCAACAGAGCTGATTTTGCACCCTGCCTCATCACACTTACAAGCATCAATGCATCCTTAAAAACTGCCCGCATTGTACAGTAATTTCCAAAAATTATTCCATGGATTTTACCTTGATTAGCTTACAAATGACAATAAAGCCTGATTTTCCATGATACCAAGGTCTCGGATGAAGGCAGTCTGCATACTTGGAAATATACACCCCTGCAAAGACAAAGCAATGCAAGATTACAGGAATGGTCTGTTTTTCCTGCAACACACGACAGTGCATGAAAATGGATTAAGCAAAGACTTGTCTCTTCCAGGGGAGTGTGACAAAATCTCTACAAAGAGACATACTGTCATATCTCAGTCAATCAGGACTAAGATATATGCACAGGTAAATAACCACTTCCAGTCTTGCTTGGTTTGGCCCTCACTGCTATGGACAATTCCAAAATTTGGTGCCTTGGCCTGCAAAGATTTCCAGGACAAGCACTGAGAGACTTTCTGCTCCTGGCAGAAGGATTTCTTTGAATAACGTGGTCTGCACTGTGTGCCTTGAGACCTCAGGCCTTTGGGCAAGGAACAGACACAGGCTGTGAAGGGCTTTGGCACAACACAATCTGCTCTAGTTATTAACAGAACTGTTGGCAAAAAAGCTCAGCAAGTGGACTTTTTAGAGCAGATGGAGGGTTGCCAAAAAGTCATGTTGGTGGATATGAGTGTTTATTAGCAAAGGAGAAAAAATCTGAATTGCAGAGGAGAGATAATACATGTTCTGGAGTATATCCCATCCTCATCTTGTTGAAGGAGTAAAAGGAAGACCCTGCTGCTTCTCTGATCCAAACAAGTGTCGTTTACCTGGTAAGTAACAAGCAGTTCCCACTGAGTAAATAGAAAGGCAACACTGAGGGTTTATCTGGGCTTGTGCTTTTAAATGAGGCAGTGCTCCCAGAGCAGTGAGCTAAATGGAAATCTTACCTTTTGCTGGGTCACCAAGCATGGAAATGGAACTGCTGTTCACACGGAGGCCAGTCTGACACACCTCTTTTGCCTTCAAAAGAAGAAACAGCCTGTTTTGCTGTCTGTTTTCAAAGGTAAAGGACACAGCAACCAAATCTATAGTGCAACAGCCAGCAGTAAAACTAATGCTAGCAGTAGGCAAACATTTACGTGCTGAACTTCAATTAGAGATCACTACAGACCCAAAACTCCTGCAGCACGAACACGACTAAACGAGCTGAAATCAACGAGAAGAAAACGTGTTGCTTTGGGTGCTAAACAATGAGTTGTACTTCTCAAGGATTGCTGCTCTATGGAAAGAGAAGGATTTTCTACATTTGCAGGGTAGAGAAAATTCTTTAGAAAGCGTGGAAGAATTTCAACTCCTCCAGAAACCAACGCAAGCATTTCAAAGTCCAGCCTTATCTGCACAGGAAATTTGTTGAAAGATAACTGCAACGGGCCGGCATGAATGCAAACAACACCTTTCACTCCACGCTCACACCTGCTGGGGCACAATAACTTCCTTGGGAGTGTCTCAACAGTACTGATTTCATTCACTTTCAAAGTGGATTCATCAAAGCATGCGAAGACCAAATGCACGCCGACCAAAGAGGGACAGTCTATTTGAACTCTTCGTGGGTGAGAAATTAAAACAAACCTTAAATTGTACATGCATATGGCACTTGAGGACATGGTTCAGAGGGCAGGTTGGTGATGTGGTGATGGTTAGATTAGATGGTCTTAATGGCCTTTCCCAACCTTAATGATTCTAGGATTCTCTATGGGACAACGCTCACTCCCAAACTTAGACTGAACGTGGTTCATTTTGATGCAGTTTGATCCAAATCAAACTAAACTGCATTCAGGCTACTCTCATTCTGAACAGAATTATCACTACAGGGCTTTACCATGGTGCCATTGAAGCGTGTGACAAATGAATTCTCCCTAGACTCCCTGAGTATCCTTGTGCAGGCAAACTCTTCGCACAAAAATCAAACACATCCTCTTGAGAAAACAGGCAGGAAAAATATTTCCCAGAAATGGTCAGGCTTTCTCTCTATGCAGATAGCAAAACCAAGGGAATTTGTTCAAAACCAGCTGGTAAATCCTGTCTTCAGTCTTCCTGTCTCTTCTAATTGTATGTGAAGGGTTTTATTTGCCTGTACTTGACTGTAAATCCACTGGAACAAAGGCAGATTCCTTACAGTTCTCTACAGAGGGCAAGGGAGACCTCAGACTGGAGCCAACTGGAGAGACCCAAATTAGGATCCATCTCTAGAACATCCCAGGAGCTACTTTCAGAATCTGCTTTGGACCATTTATGTAGCAGTACATAAGTGGGGTACAAAGAGCCAGGACCTTCTGTTAACAGAGCTGCTGGGCTTTGCTGGGAAGGAGCACACGTGTCAGCACTTGGCATCGACTTCCTAAGCTGAATAAACATTTGAGGTTACCTCTTCTTCGTTGTCAAACAGAAGAAATGCAAAGGTCTCCTCAAGCTCCTCTTGGCTGTATCCAGCTGCTTCCTTTGCTTGGACAAAAGCTTTGAGCTGCAGAAGACACAAGGACACTTTGTTCTACTCCATTTGCACCAGAACCAACAATTGAGCAGTGCAGGGAACGTGAGCACAGCGTGTCCCACATACCTCCCTCCAGCTGTGGTCACATCAGCTGATTGTCCAGCTCGTGTACCCACTCCCACCGTAAGTGCCCCAAACCACACAGCTGGGAATATCCAGCATTATTCCACTGTGCTCCTTTCACCACATTTTGTCAGGCTACTGGAGAGCTTTTTCCCTGAGCAACATGTGGGCTTGTCAAGCACCACATTTAGTGACCAGCTGTGGCCATCAGATGACAAACCATCTCAGCTATGGAACAGATACCAAGAGGGGGTGTTTGGAGAAAACTTTCTCCACTGACCAGGGAAGCCAAAACTGTTTGATTTGAGGGCAGATGTATCATGCAATTACAGCTCAGAGGGTTTGGCTCCAGCCAGATTATGTCACCTCTATTTCTTTTGTCTAACAAAGCAGCATGTGTTCCCAGTGCTGACAGCAGAGAACTGCAACCATGCTGCCTTTGCACTGTAATAAAAGAAGACATGGAAGGATAAGATTTTTGTAATGGTGTTCTACGATAAGAAAACAATGGTCTCGTCAGTGCTTTGGTTTATTTTGACTTTAGAACTCACAAGAAAGCCATCAGATGACTTAATTCCTCCCCTCCTTGTATTTTATCCAGCTCTGTAGTGACTTTCCTAGATGGTCCTGCATGGAGCTAGGAGTTTGAGTCCCTTCCAACTCAGGATATTCTAAGGCCTCCAAGCTCTATTTAATTCATGACAACAAGCAGGCCAGCCAGCTCCACGAGGATAGGCTTTCAGAAGGGAAAGCCTATTCCATGCCAAGAAAACTATAGGAAGGCATTTAAAAGTGGTTTCATAAATGCTGGAAAAAGGGAAACTTGGGGTTAAATCTAGTGCTTGCTTAGGCATGATGGCAGAAATACCACTGTGGGCATCTGCCTTGCTGTGAATCAGCAGAACTATGCATGATATGCAAAGCCATTAAAGCTCTCCTTCCAAGCATCAAACCAGCATTTCAACCTGTGCCTGAAGGCCTGCTCCAGGAGTCCTGCTGAATACTTGGCAATGCTGGATGAATTGACCTTTTGTTCCTAATCAGAATGGGAAGGAAGAAGAAGAAAGCAAAAGCTCTCCAGTTGCGAGCTGCAAATGGGGCACTACAATGTATGCAGGTGAGAAACACTGCCCTTTTCTGAGCTTCCAGCAACTCCCAGCTCTCCCAGCAGCCTTACCTCACTCAGAAAAACGTCATTTTCCACCAGAATTGCTTGGCTGTACCAAAAACCATCCTGAGATGTAGAGTCCAAGTAGGAATTCTGCAGCACCGAAACCGCTGTCTGCAAAAGGGAACTTGACTCTCTGAACTCCGGATACAAACCTGGTGAAAGAATCGTAGGATTATTACATTGGGAAAAGACCTCTAAGATGATCATAAGAAATGAAGCCAAAAAGCAGGTGCCAAATATTAATTCTGGACGTTCCCAGATATCAGCACAGGGCCTCAGCAGAGCTGGGTGGCAGCTTGGCTCATTTAACAACATCTCCACGGGGCTGATCCATCAGCTCTGCAGCACCCAAGGGAACTTTTTTAGCAGTTTCCCTCCAGGCACACAGCACTTTGTCTGAAAGCTAACTGCCCTCAGCCAGGAGGAACAGGAGCTCCCAGTTTGCCATCAAACCCTTCAAACTCTTCTTTTGCAACAGAAAAAAAGTAAAATTTTTCACAACTGCCAGAAGCAAAACCTGATGGTAAATTAACTTTATGATCTCTGAGCAAGTCAGAGTTTTCTCTTCTGCTGAGAAGTTACTGAGGTTTCCTGGTCTGTGATCAGATCAGCTTCTTAGGGCTATCAGTTTAACCCTAAAAGCTTTCAGGTCTTAAAGAACATGGTTCTCTCACTTCAGAGCCTCAATTGGCTGCTCTCCCAAAGCCCACATTCTCTCCACAAACCTCCCAAGGAAAGAAAAACTCCAGTAAAACACTTCCCAAGAGCCTCCCACCAACAGGAGATCCACATCCCAACCAACAAATCAAATACAGACGCGTAGACAAACGAAAGCACCGCAGTTTTTGTGCTCCTGAAGCTGTTCAAATCCAAATGTTAAATAAAACAGCCATGCAGAAATACAGGAAATCCTGGGTTTGGTCTCTATTGCACATTTAGAAGGCTTTATCACTGGTGATGATTCATGATCTACGGGATTTCAAACCTCAAGCTGATTTTGCAACACAGACGCATCAGAAAGGTTTATTTCTTACAAGCCCATTAACTTCAAACATAAAAAGCAATCACCTATGAGGAAAGAAACGTGGAAACTCCAAACCTGATGTAAAGAGCAAGTTTTGCATGCTGGTTCCCCTTTAAGAAGAACTTCACAGCCATTTTTGAAGATAAGTTCTCATTTTAGCTTCTGCAATGGAAAGGCCCCTGTTGCTTTGGCAATAAGATGGCATCAGCTGTTGCCCTGAAATCTCCTTGGGGTTTGACTCCTATTTTTAAAGGGTACATTTTGATCTGTTTCTTCATTTCCTCCTAACTCAGGGGAAAAAAGAAGACAGAAACACTGCCTATGTGATAAATCTTGCTATTTCTCTCAGCCTTTGCTCACTTTTTCCTCACTTGCCTTTTGCTTTGCTCTGTCACCTTCTTGCATCTTCAAGGCAGCAGTCAGGGCAGTCCAGCTCCTCCACGTGACGCAGATCAGGGAGTTATGTCCCAGCTCTGTTCAAAAACTTGAACAGAACACAATGTCCCCTTCTGCTTCCTGCCCTGAGCACCACAATAACACTCATGTCCACAGCCACGCAATGTTCTGCTCCTCCTACTTTGCAGCTCTACATCACTGACAAGTTTGGGAGGTTCTAACTCAAACAATTGCTCCTTCTGTTCCTTTCCAGTTCAGCTGCAGCGTAAAAACGAAAGTCCCCCAAAAAGTTGCCTCAGTCATACATGAACAGGAGAGATGGAACAGGCAGAGCGTTGCACTGAGTCCCACAGCTCACCTCGACCTCCGTGTCCCCTTTCAGATGTAAAGAGGCTCCTTCAGCTCTGCTCTTACAGAAAGACCAGCAAAACCCTGGCTGCATTGAGTGCAGCCCTCATGCTGAGGTTGGCAGGCACTGAGCAGGCTCTGAGCAGGGGAAAGTGAAAGTGCCTACCAGAAGCAAAAGTGAAAGTGCTGGCTTTCCCTCCCAGCAGCTTGGATGTGCCACCATCATCCCTTGGCATCTTAAGGGGAGAGGGGGATGATTTCTCACTGATGGTCAATGGGATGGATGAAGAATGGCTGGATAGACAAAGGATAGATGATGGAGATGATGGATAGACGTATAGATGGAGAAGCCCAGCATGGCTTGACACCAACAGAGCCCAAATGAACCCACACTGGATGTTATCCATGCCCAAAAAGGTCCTCAGGATAAAATTTCACAGTCCTGGTGATTTCCAGCCCAGAGAGAGCAGTCACCTTTGCAGTTCATAACGCACCCAGGAGTCCCACGCTGCTGTTCCTCTTCCAGATTCTGTGCTGGATGTCAGTCAGCAGGGCCAGCTGAGGCCAAGCAGCTCAGGCTCTGCAATTGCAGGATCCTCTTTCTGCTCATGCAAATGACCTCTGGATGGCCTCACCATGTGGAGACTTCCAAAGCCAGCCCAGGAGGAAAACCCACGCTTTTTGAACCACTTACCAGTACAGGCTTGTACTAGAAAACAAGGTTTTCTTTTCTTTTCTCTTTTCTTTAACCTTAATGTTTTAGTAGTGCTTGCTGCATGTATCTGAATGCTGTCATATCTCCAAAATCCACGTGGTCAATGCAGGCTGAACACGGTCACACTGCTCGCCTATGGGTGTGCATCCTGCTCCGCACAGCCCTTCCCCATCTCATCTCTTCCATTTTTGGGTTGCAGAGCCATCATTAGTGTGAGCTGTAACAGCAGGCTTTGCTCCCAGCATGGGTTGGGGCATCACATGCCACTTCACACCACTGGAAAGTCCACGTACTGCAAGGTGAAACTCCTTAAGACCACCCTCCTCCCACTGACATCCACTTGCTCTCTTCTTTTTTCATCTCCCACTCTGATTTTGCTGCTCACCTCCAGCACGTGGTAACTATTATGACAATTACATGAACTGTCCCTTTAAATCCTGCTCTAATTATAAAACACACATTATTACCTGCTTGATCAGCTCTTCACCTGCGAGCTTCTCTTAGCTACAGCCCGTGCAGCCCAACTTTCATAATGAACCTTGGTTCATCAGTGTTGCAGCACCACTACACAGGAGCCTCTTTACTCATTCAGTGTAAGCCCAAATTAAGGCAGACTATTTGCAAACTGATCAACCAAAGCAGACCCCAGAGACTGCAATGTGGTCCTGCTATGGAGGAGGTGTCCTGTGCCCACAAGGACCAGGTCCAGGCAGCGTGGGATGGTTAGCATGGCACTGAAGCAGGAAGTGATTTGGTTTATTTGAGCCTTTCAGGCTTTTCTTGTGTTTTAATGTGTGCTCTTCAAAGCTTTTCAATCTCAGAACACAATCTACTGCACCAGACAAGCACCCCGTTCCCACTGCTCCTGCTGCATCAGCCACATTTGCAGCTTTGCTGCTTCTTTTTCTTTCACTTTCTTGCTTTCTTCCTTCCTATTCCTCACACCCAAAGACAGCTACAACCTCACATTTCTAGGGTGGAAAGGTGGGGTTCCAATAACGTTCAGCATTTTCCAAAGGTAGCACCCACAGGATGCTACAAATGGGTTCCACAATCCCCTCAGATTTGTGGGGAAAAAAAATGAATCTATTAAACACTGAGATACCAGCTCTTCGTCAGGAAGTCCTCAAGCCACAAACCTTCACAGGCAGCACAAGCATTCGGGAGAAAGAAGAGAAAGAAACCACCTCTCTGCATTGTATGTTGTATTCTCAGAAGAAGAGTGGCTGGCATGCAAAAAGCCTTCCAACTATAGAGCTCTGCTATCTTTTGCAGGTTCCTGGTTTGATGTACCTAAAACACTCACAGTGGTTGCTGATAAGCTGGAAAAAAATAAAGAAAAAAAAACAAACAGGTGCTGGGCTGTATTTAAAATTCCCTCCAGGTACACAGGGAAATGCAATTATCCAGGTAGGCAATATTTACTTTATCACCTTTGAGGAGTAAGATGATGCAGGGCACCCACTCAGAAGAGACACCACTCTGCCCAGAGGATCAACAACCTTTCTGGAACTTGAATTTTTTTTTACTCTGGAGGGTGACAAGGCCTTTAGACAGGTCAGAGACATGGGAGTGCCCACTCTTGGATGGGCAAAGCCAGAGCTGCCCCATTCTGATGTTGGTGACAATCTTCTCAGAGCAGGAATCCTGCTCTGGAGAAACCTTCCAAGTACAATTTCTTTGATTTTTGAACCTCCTTCCTGTTACCTTCAGCTGCTCACATAATTGAAGATGTGGTTATTGCAGGCTTGCCCTCCTTCATTCATCACACAGTTGTTGCTGTCTTTCATCTTCACAGATGCTCCTCAAAGCTTCCTCTTTCTCCAGCTCTCCTCTTCTGTTGGGTTGCCACTTTGTGGAGCCACTCATCTGCAGGTGTCTGCGTTGACTCTTCCCAAATCCAGCACCATCATCACCACTTTAGCATTCAGACAACTAAGAAGTCCCTTTCTTTACAAAACCAGTAGCCACGAGACAATCAGACCCAATGCTGAGGGAGAGCTGTAAAAGTGTGCACAGCAACTTAAGACCCAAATGATGGCAAAGTAATGGCCTTTGCTACATGATGTTTCATCGTGTGCTTTCCATTTGGGAAAAGGGGAAAAAAAAAAAGGATTGTGGCTGGACAAATTGGGCAGGTCGTTGGGCAGACCTGCCTGAAAAGCTGTAGCTATACTCCTCCAATCAGTCCTTTTGTGCTTGAGAAAGCCTGAAACAGGGTTGAATCTGTTCTTCAGTTTGTTTGATGGCATTCCTTTTGCTCTCACTATAGAAGCTCTTCTTTCAGCGTTGACTTTCTTCCATTTTCTTGCTCTCCTTGACGCAGAGACAGAGCTCTACCACACATTCTCTGTGAACCCGTTGGCTTTGGAAATTACAAAGACACACTTACAGTTTCCAGCAGTAACAGAAATGAAGCCAAACAATCAGATCTACCCACACACATGCCAATTTTAGATAACCACAAGAACTATCAAATCGTTATCATCAGAAAGAAAAAAGCCAAACAATGCCAAAACAGTGCTCCTTCCCTTCACCTGCAGTTAAGCTATGAAGCAAATCACCAAATAACAGCAGAAGAGAAAATAAAAGAAACTATTTTTAATAGAGACAGGTTCAACATTCTGGATTACCACACAACTCCTCAAAGATCTGTGCCAATGAAGCTTGAAATCTGGCACGATGGTGCTCCACTCCTTGGACTATTTTTGTTGTCCTCCTCTGGGTGTGCCCCACCAGATCCATGTATTTTTCTACTGAGGACTCCACATGAGGACATGGTACTCCAGGTGAGGCCTCACCCTGCTGACCACACTTATTTTGATGCAGGCCAGGATATGGTTAGCAAAGCCAGTGTCAGAGCAAAGTAACACAATCCAGGGAATTCTGTCCATCCAGATTTCCCCCTATTGAGGAGTGCATACAAGTTTGGGGATGATCGAGAGGCAGAACTGTGCAAAACCAGTGCAGAAACACCCCTCTAATGTCAATTTTTCCATCTGTAATGCAGATTGATTCCCATCCCAACAAGGGTCCAAAATGGGAACAAAGGCCTCCCAGCCTCCATCCTGCACATAAACTGATGTTTGCATTTTCACATTCTGCTTTCCTGAAGGGCATCTGCATGGCTTCACCCAGCTCCCAAGGAGAGACCACAAAGCAACAACAACAAAATAAAGACCACACCCTTCCCAATTTTATCTTTACCAGAACACACAGTAACTGGGAAGCCTGGAATGGCCAATGCATTCCCAAGGAGAAATTAAAACAGTTTTGCTACAGTTTGGAAGACCTTGAGATAGGGCTGAGGGGGTCCAAAGGCATCAGAGTAGGGCTGAGGGGGTCTGAAGGAACTGGGGTGGCTGTCTGCAGGGGTGAGAGGGTCTGAAGGCCTTGGGATGATTGTCTATAGGACTGAGGGGGTCTGAAGGGCATGGGGTAGCTGTCTGAAAGGGTGAGAGGGTCTGAAGGGCTTGAGATGCCTGTCTGTAGAGGTGTAGGGGTCTGAAGGCCTTGGGATGATTGTCTATAGGACTGAGGGGGTCTGAAGGGCATGGGGTAGCTGTCTGAAAGGGTGAGGGGGTCTGAAGGGCTTGGGATGGCTGTCTGGAGGGGTGAAGGGGTCTGAAGGGCTTATGGTAGGGCTCAGTGGGTCTGAAGGACATGGCGTGGTTGTCTGTAAAGCCGAGGGAGTCTGAAGGGCACGAGGTGGCTGTCTGTAGGGGTGAAGGTATCTGAAAGCCTTGGGGTCGAGCTGAGGGGATCTGAAGGGCTTAGGGCGCTGCCTGTAGGGGTGAGGGGGACTGATGGACTTGGGGTAGGGCAGAGGGAATCTGAAGGGCTTGGGGTGGCTGTCTACAGGGGTGAGAGGGTCTGAAGTGTTTGGGGTAGGGCTGAGGGGGTCTGAAGGCCTTGAGATGGTCTCTGAAGGGGTGAGAGGGTCTGAAGGCCTTGGGGTGGCTACCTACAGGGCTAAGGAGGTCAGGAGGCCTTGGGGTAAGGCTGAGGGGGTCAGAAAGGATTGGGGTGGCTGTCTGTAGAGCTGAGGGGGTCTAAAAGCCTTGCATGGCTGCCTGTAGGGGTGATGGGTCTGAAGGCCTTGGGGTGGCTATGGTAGGGGTGAGAGGATCTGAAGGCCTTGGAGTAGGGTTGACAGGGTCTTGAGGTGGTTTTCTGTAGAGAGGAGGGGATCTGAAGGGCTTGGCTTAGGGCCGAGGGAGTCTGAAGGGCATGGGGGTGGTTGTCCGTAGATCCAAGGGAGTCTGAAGGCCTTGGAGCAGCTGCCTGTAGAGCTGAGGGGGCCTGAAGGCCTTGGGGTGGCTGCCTGTAGGGCCGAGGGCTGCTCCCATCCCTCATCCTAAGGGAAAAGGGAAACCTCTGAGGCGCACCCCGCTTCATAAGGGAGCACAGGGAGGCAAATCCACGCCCAACCCCCCCCGCCCCCCTTCCGCCAAATCCCCAGCAGGAAAAGACAGAGCCGGCGTTCCCCCGGTCCCCCCACCGCCTTGCTCACCCGCTCCCGGCCTTCGGGCCGCCTCGTCCCGCCGCTCTCCCATGCTCGGGGCTCTCTCCGTTCCGTTCCGCTCCGTCCCCTCACGCCATAACGCCCGCCCGGCCCTTCCCCGCGCGGCACCGCGGTCTCCGGGGCCGGGCGGGCCGAAAAGGGGGAATCAGGAGAAACGGGGAGGCATTGCGGGACCGCAGCACAACGCCGGCCCCCAGGAAGGGGAAGGCAACCCCGGGGAAGGAAGGGGAGGGCGGGCCGAGGGCGGGCGGCGGAGGGGTGAAAAAAACAGAAAGTGAAAACTGAACCGGAAAGACAGCGCGGCCGCGCCCGCGGCTTTCCTCTTCCCGCGGGTCAGCGCGGCGCGGCGGCGTTCGTCTGCCGTCCCTCAGCCCCTTCTTCCCTCCCAGATCTCAGCCCGCATTGCCGTCCTTCGGCCCTTCCCTCACAGATCTCAGCTCTCATTGCTGTCGCTCAGCCCCTTCTCTCACAGATCTCAGCCCTCAATCCCTTTCCTCAGCCC